CATTCGCTGGCTGGGGAATTCTGGGAGTTGAAGTCCAGACATCTTCAAGTGGACAAGGTTGAGAAACACTGGTCTAAACATTAATCTCCCTCTCAAAGAACCTCCACTGCCAGATAGTTCAAAAGGGCAGCAGGCAGGCAGAGATAAGAGTTGGGAAGTTAAGCAAGCAGGCACCAGGCAGAAGAAGTCGCTTGCTAAATCCTGCCTGCTCCTCTGGCAGCAGCCTTAATTGCCAAGAGCCCGTCTGCTGCCACACACCTCCCAGCGGCCAGAAAGATCCCACAGATTGGGCACCACGCGAATGCCCGCTGGCTTGCGCCTGGCTCCTCCGGAGCTTCTTTCCCGGGGCAGAGAAATCAGGAGAAGGAGATTGAAGGCAAGAGGATCGAATCCAGCAGCCCCGCTTTCCTAGCCATCTCTCCTCCTCCTCCCCGTTGCCGTCACCCTCCCGCAGGGAGATGTTGGCCCAGACAAGCCGACGGGGCTCTTCTCGTCCCGGGAAGGGAGGAAGGGAGGAAGGGACAAGGTTCAAGGCCAACTCGGGGAGGGGGAAATGGCCAAGCTGGCACGGGAGACCTTCCGCGATGAAGGGGGCAACTCCGCGCACGAGCCTCGCCCGGAACCCCGAAAGGCCGGAGACCGCGGGACTCCCATGCGCTCCCCCCACCTCCAGCACAAGCAGCGCAGACGCGGCTCTCTTCCCTGCGCTGCCTCGGAAAGGGACCCCCCAAGCCCCGCCGCCCCAGCCGCGGCTCCTCCCGCGATCACCCACCTCCGCCGCCTCTTCCCTGCAGCTTTGCCCCCCTGTGGTCCTTAGCAGGTAAGCCCCGCCCTCCGCCTTCAGAAGGGGAGGCGTCATGGAGGGAGGCGTGGCCACGCCCGGCCACGCCCCTTTGTTCGCACATTGCCTGGCCGCTCAGCCCCGCCCCTGCCCCGCCCTCTGGGTTGAGTCAGGAGACCCTCAGCAGAGCCGGGTGATGGACGGGAAGATGGTCCCCACGGTAAAGGAGCCGCGGGGGGGTGGAGAGGGAAACACCCCAAGGACAGGGAGGCAGGACGGGCTGGAAGGGCTGCCCCGAAGCCCTTCGCTCCCCGTCTTCGATCGGTGCAGATCTTTCTCCACGCCTCCTTTAAGCACCGCAGCCTTTCTGCTCCTTCGGAAGCCCCAAGTGCCGATCCTGAATCAGGGCGCAAAACCCGGAGTGCTGAATGACAGGCCGTCCCCAGCAAGAAACTGTGCGGACTTAGTCTGAAAACAGACGTCTAGTGCAGTGTTTCTCAACCTTGGCTACTTGAAGATGTCTTGACTTCAAATCCCAGAATTACCCAGCCCACGAATTCAGGATGTGGAATTCTTGGTTTTTAAGTCCTTATCAAGTC